TTTTTTCTTTTAAATACCTAAAGGCTAGTTTTCACTAGTTTTCGGAGATATATTGTAGTGCTCATTCGATGTTAAATCGATATATCGACTTTTAGACCGTAATATTGTCGGTAGCGGCTCAGAAATATGTCGACAAAGTATGACTTAACAAAAGCCAGCCCTAAAATAGAGAAAATTTTACTTGGCATACAAAAGAAGAGCACGTGGCTTATTTTAGGGAACATTATTTATATTATTACAGTCAAACACACTTTTTACAATTTAATGCATTTACAAATAAATAGTAATAAGTAAAATATGCAAATTCACACTGTAATGGAAGTAGATTGATATTAGCTTATAATAACAAAGTTAATGAACAACAACTGTAGAGAGCGCATTAGCATTTTAAATAAGAAAACACAATAAATTTACTTTGTTATTTAATAAATATGTATGTATGTACATATGCGTTACGAGTATCTACAATTTAAAGCTGTGTTACGTAAAGTATTAAACGCGTACTAGCATCAAATACGAGGACAGTTTGATAGGTCAATGACACACACTGTTTGGTACCAACGGCCAAAAATCAAAAAAAAAAAAAAAAACAGGGTCAAAATTTTGGAGTTTAAAGCAATTCTTTACATACACTGTCTCTTATACAGTAATTGGTTTTTGTGGTGATTCTAAGGGTACTTTTTAAAAACAGCTGCCGAAGTGAGCAATTGATTTTTAATTATTAAAAACGTCATGGAAGTCTTCAAATTTACTTTAAAAAAATGGATATTAAATTTCTAAAAAAGTAATGTTTTTCAATTCTTTCATATTGCGTTTTTCGTTCATCTTCTGGAATTTCATCAAAATCTGATTACTTTTCATATATCCGTTCACAGGGATAGTGGGTGGAGCAAAATGCCCAGCTTTGCGTTATTTCACAAGTTTAATTTTTTTAGTAAAAAATTAGCATCTGCAACATTCCTGGAATGTAGCCGCACGATAGATGCAGCGATTGCTCACATGCGTCCATAATCGCAAGCGTGTAACTATTTCAAAGTGCTACACCGCTAGACACAGTCGCAATGGCCCAAACAGACAAACGGTTGTAGTGTCAAAAAAAAAAAAAATTAAAAATTTAAAAGATGCTGAGCTGAACTTAATTGAGGCTACAGGAGTCTGAGTTGGGAAATAATACACTTTTTAGCTGAAAAATATTTGTGTTCAATAAGTCACTGACTTATCGAGCTGCCCTGATTGAATAAATATAATCGTATGGGTATGCGTATATTTATTTGAATTTGTATTCGCGTTGGTATATGGCTTTCTATTTTTATTCCCACTCGTATTCGTATTTGTAATTGGATTCGTTATCGCACTCGTACTAGTGTTTGTATGTGTACGAGTATTTATATTCGTACTTGCATTCGAATTAGAATTTGCCTTCGTATTTGTGTTCGTATTCGGTTTTCTATTCGTATTCGTTTTCGGTTTTCTATTCGTATTCGTATTCGTTTTTGTATTCGTATTCGTTTTTGTGTTCGTATTTGTTTCTATGTGTATTCACGTTAAGGCTCGAATTCGTATACGTGTTTTTGACGTATTAATGTTTGTTTTCGTATTCGTGTTTTTATTCCAACTGATATTCGTATTCATCATTCGCATTCATATTCTTATTTGCCGTCTTAATCGTAGGCTTAGTTGTATTCGTATTAGTACTTGTACTCGTACTCGTGTTTTATTAGGTACGAGTATATATATTCGTACTAATATTCGCATGCGTATTCACATTCGCATTCATATTCATATTCATATTTGCGTTCTTAATCCTAGTCTTAGTTGCATTCGTATTTTTGCGAACAAATATTTAAAAGTACCAAGATCGAATGATTGAAATGTACACATATAATTTCGAACCCAGTCACACTGAATTAATCCCAAATTCCGGTTTTGTAAGTCCTGTCTAATCAATACTCATGTGATGCAATTCAATAAATGCATCGCTAGTCTATAGCAGTATTTAAGAAACAACCTTAAAAGTTCGTTACAAAATGACATGCGTGGAAAGTACTCTGCCTCCGCGAGCGCCATTTTAATATCACTAAGACAACATTTTTTTAAAAAAGCTCTTCACAGAAAAAAATTTCAAAAATATATTCTTTGAAATAAAATTTTGGTTTGACGTTTCTTGTTTCCATATAGATAGTGGAGAATTACAGGAAATAAAATTAAATACAGGGTGTCCTAAATTTTAATGGAATGAATAAAAAATATATGTAAAAATTGTTTTTTTTTTTATTACTTTATTAAATAGTACGGATTTTTGGCTTTCAAAAGAAGAAATAAAAACCTGCTCATTTTTTGCACTTTCTGAAGTAATGCGTTTTTCGCTAATGCATAAAATGGTTTTCTCATTTTTTGTCAGTGCCTTGAAGTGTCAGATTAAAAAGCTTGACCTGTGGACAATAGAAGGTTTATTTTTTTTTTTAAGGAGCAGCTACCTGTTAAAAAATTAGATTGTTAAAAAATTTGATTAAACTTTTTTTATAAGTTAAATGAATTATTAGAGATGGGTATCAGTGGAAATGTGTATAAGCTGCATGTAGAGAGTTGCCACCTGTTTGAAAAATCAAATTCCACTTGAATTAAAGGAATTAGGTAATTGAAATAGATAGGTATCACCATAAGCGAGTCAGACGCAGATTTAAGAAGGTTTTAGCTTAAAAACATTACGAATACGGTTGTCATCTGTTTGTAAAGTCGAATTTAGTTAAAATTAAATAATAATTACGTCAAACCATAGGACTACGCCATCGTATTTCTTATTTTATTACAAATACATACATTGTCAATCAGTGATTTGTGCTGATTACATTCCTTTTAAATACTGAATTTGATTTTTTAAACATGTGGCAACCCTTCTACGTGTCTTTTAGAGGTAAAGTATTTTCAAAACTAGTTCAATTGATACCCATATTGTAATATCTAATTCATTTGGCTTATTAGATAATTTTAATAAAATTCGTAACAGATGGCAACCTCACTTTTGAAAATAGAACGAACTAGAGGTACATACCTATGTAAAAGCCACAAGAACCCAAATTTTCAACTTCAAACTGCATTTACAGTCCAAGTATAGATAGTTTTCCAAAAACCAATTGCATTTTTGAATTTAGCGTCCCCAGTTTTACTAAAAAGCGAATTTTAATTTAAATCCGTCCATAATTCTATTTTTGCCCACATTTTATATGGAAGGAAGCACTGTGCAGCGGCATAACTAAAAGTTTGTGTGCTGGTTTCTCCAACTCAACTTTAGCCATTTTTTGGACTCAGTCATTTTCATCATCAAGGCTAAGCCAAAAATTAGCCTACGTTTTAATCAGCTTATTCTTGACTAAGTCCAAAAAATTGCTAAACTTCAGTTAAGTTGAGTTGGAGAAACTAGCCCTGTGGGTTTTATTCTCAACCAATCCGCCTATTTTATTTTGCTTCCGGCAATGGTTGTATGTATGTATGTATGTATGTATATTGGTATGTACATATGTAGAAACAATTGCAACAAAAACTTACTGATTAAGCTAGGTTGGAGAGGCGCATTTTCATAAAGCAAAACCCATGTGTACACTCGTACTTACTAAGCTCATGCATTCTAGAGCTCGTGTTGTTTGTTGATTTCTTTACATATGAAAAGTATAAATTTTTTATACTTTATTTTCATTATTTGCAAAACTGTACCGATTGTGTTGTGTCGGCTTTGTGGGCATTTCTAGCAAGCTGTTGCTGTTTTATATTTTTATTTAAGTAGTGTGTGTTTATGGTTTTTTAAAATATTCATATACATACATATCTACACATTTTTATACACAAGCTTTGCAAAGTATTGTCAAAAGACTAGAACAAAAATTATGAGACGTCAACGAAAAGGTTATCAACACATTTTATCTATAGTATTGCTAATATTTATTATTGTTTTTTTCGTTTCTGAAAATTCAGAATACTTAAATTATGCCAAACAAGTTTCTACTACATACACACTACATACTTTGTACTCAGTCACGTGTGCTGCTAGACATCTATCTTATCAGCAAAAAATTTAAAGCTTCACAATTTTTTTAGTCAGCAATGATATTTTAAGCAATTCGTTTTAATAATAAGTAGCATATAAAAATTAATATAAATGAATATGAAACTTTTTATGGCACGTTTAGAATTTAAAGGTAATTTGATGGAAGGAAAAAATATATGTATGTACATAAATGTTATGTTTGGTTATAGAAAATTAAGGCGATTCAGTTTAGCAAGAGAGTTGAAAAGGTACATTTTTAGTTTAGTTTTTTTAGTTTTAGTTTAGTATGGGGAACGGTAGTATACTCAGCCTTACTACGTGAAAAACGATTGGATGGTGAACCGTTAAAACCCCCACCAAAAGTGAGAGTGTGAGGAGTGCCCTTGACAGCCCCCTGTCCACCCTCGGCCAGAGGGACCTTGCGAGCGCGCATGCTCTGGTTTTCGCCCAGCTTAAGCGTTTACATGCTGATTTTTTTTTTTTAATATTCACAAACAATTTTTTTTTTTGTTACAATTTGTATAAAAATATTGTTTATGCTTAAACCAAAACCATATAAGTCTAAGTTTCAAACTTTAAACAAAATTTTGAAAATTTCAACAAATTTTCAATATAATTTTGAACTTTTAATTATCTATAAATTTTCAGAACTTTTTTGGGTATGCAGTTTTATGTCCCATAATAATTTTAGTCGAATGAAGTGCAAATTTCAAGCTGCAAAAAATCTCATTGATTTAAATTTTTTTTTTGCTGGCGGCTTTTGGAGTTTTTTTTTTTAATAACACGTGCAATTTTGCTCATTTTTACACTAAAATTAAACTTGCACTTTTTAGACTAAAATTGTATAGGCTATAAAATTGCATACTCTAAATTTTTCTGAAAATTAAGATTAAAAAGGTCAAATATTTGATGAAATCTTTTTGAATTTTTTTAGTCACTCGTAAACTCGGTTCCTTACCTTTATCAAAACGCCTATTTTTCACCATCTTTCCTGTTACTGACGCCGTTTTCGTTGTTATACTTTAGCAAGATTTGAACCAAAATTTTTTGTTGTTTATATGCAATCGCGCTGTCACAAGTTGCATACGCAATGTCACTAAGGCAGATCTATTTTTATTTCACTCACATACGCATACATATGTAGGTTTATACATATGCTATATGTTATTCCAATGGATTTATTTCGCTCTAACGATTTTTACACACTTTGAAAAAATATTTTTCGTTGCAATTTTTTTTATTTTTTTCAATTGAATAGCACACACGCACGTTTATCACGACTTTCTGCGTTAGACTGAGCGACAAAAACGTGTGGATAGCCACAAGTTAAAAGATCAACAGGCGCTGGTGACGTAAATCGACTACCAATTTGACTTTGATAGGATCGCTTGCAGTGATGGCGGATTTCTACGAGTACCTATGTTGATAATTTTTATACTTGACTTTTTTATAGAATTTTTTGTGAAATCTACAAAATCACTTTGCTGCTTTAAGAATTTACTAACGAATTTTTAACGCGTTCTTTCGATTTCTAAACGATTTTTCTTTTTTAAAATTTTCTTATGTTTGCTTCGAAATAAAGGCGCGCGCCATATGTATCTGTACCGTTTTGATGCGTGAAAAACTGTGAAACGAGAAAATTTTCACGCGTTCTCGTGTGAGAAGCGTTCTAAAGTCAACTGCTTGAAGTGAACGTGTTGGCAATGCTTTTATATAAATAAAACTGATCGTACCAGAAAAGACGCGCGCGCGGGCATATTTGTGCTCATAAGCACACACAGCTGCGTATGTAGTTATGTATGTATGTATGTATGTACACCTTTGGACACCACACTCAGAGTAACAGCACCAGCAGCAGCAGCTATACTATAAATAAAAGTAATGAAAGTATAGTAGTAACCAGTGTTGCCACACATAGGGGTTTTCCTACCAAAACTGGTAGGTTCATTTCCATAGAAAATATTTATCTGCAAACGTTTTAGCAACCTAGTTTACAGGAAAGGACTTGCACATAAGCCTACTGAATTCCACCATTGATCCATTTACCAAAAGAAGAAAGTCAACTTCACTAGACCCACCTTGCCAGGGACAATTAAGTTCTCACAAGAAGTATCTAGGGGTAATAGCTCAACCAGCCACCGACGTAAAACCGTAGACCGTGTCAGCGGACACGACCTATCTTATGGGATTCTCGAGTTAAAGAAAACTCATCATAGCATGATGGTGACGTTGTCGTTGCTTTTCTCTCTCTCTCTATCAACAGAAATTTCTTATGCTGATGCGAACGGCAGGTACGGAGGGGTGCTCCGTTGGTGGCTGGTTGAGCTTTGACTATGGACAAAAGGCTCAATTGGAACTCATATCTCTCGAATGTTACAAAAAGACTTCAAGGGCGTTTTATGCCTGTCAGAGGCTTCATGGCAAGGCTTGGGCGATACCACACAAACTAACGTATTGGTATGTCAATGTGGTAGTGAAACCCGTTGTTACATAGGCAATACTGGCGTGGTGGCCAAAATCTAAGCAAGTAAACGCTGTTGCCACCTTGAGCAGCTCCACCGTCTGGTCCGCGTAGCCATCACAGTAGCTATACACACCTGTCCAATGGACGCCCTTGCTGTCATTACGGGCATTTCTCCTTTGTCTATTCTGATTGAAAAATAGATCATCTAGAGCGCCCTACCGCTGCCCAATAGGGTCAGCATAAAAAGTGGAAATCTTCGGGGTCAGTTGGAGGTTTTCAAGCCATTCCTGGATGATCGCAAGTTATACTTCTATAAACACTACAAGATCAGAATTCCTGAAAGCGACTGCTGTGAAGCGATAATAACTATGATTGACGAAGGGTCCCAATCATGGTATGCCGATGGTTCGAAGGTGGACGGCGGGAGTAGTGTGGCAGACGTACTTGGACGAAGATTCCAGGAAAGTTTGCCAATGGGCACATCCATAATATTGCAAGCGAAAGTCTTTGCGATCGAAGTCTGTGTTCGCGAATGTCTTCGTAGAAGGACAAATGGGGCCCGAATGAATAGTCAGGCAGCCATAAAGGCCTTTCGACTCTTTTTAAACGGCATCAAGCCTTGTGGAAAGCTGTAAAACTTTTTTGAACCACCTGGGAGCCTACATTAGCGTAACGATGTAGTAGGTCTCTTGACATGAAGGGTTAGAAGGCAATGTCTGTCTCGCAAAGCATGGAGTCCAAATGCGCTTGCATTGGCCCGAGCCTTTTGTGAGCTGGTGAAGGAAACCCCACATCTCACGAATAAACTTGTCATTGAAATAAGTATTCAAATCTGATACACATTTTTGGTAGGGTTTGGTTGGTTTTTGGTAGAAAAAAAAATTGTACGTGGCAACACTGGTCCTAGCCGCAGCAGCAGCAGCAGTGCCAAGAGCTCCCATTGTTGACAGTGGTGATGCGGTATAAACTTGCGTACATATTCTCACATACCCACAAACCAGTCAGTAAAAATACCAGTTCATTAACTAGTATGAGCTAAAGCGATTAGCCACCAGTTCGACAATGCGATCAGATTGTCTATATGGAAAAAGCGAAAAAGGCAACAACATTTTATAAGGCGATCTTAGCACAGTGTGCAGACCACTGTCTTTGGAAGCTGGGGTCGTTGGATCGAATTCCAATGAAGAAGTCTGATGAGGAGATATTGTGATCTCCGAAATAGCAGCTATAACTTCTACCATTTATAAATTATAGTTGTTTTTCCACAATAATTTTCAATTAAAAACGGCCTCAAGCTCAACAAAAATTTCTTAATAATTAAATGAAAAATAAAAACAATGAAAAATAATAGAACTTGAACTAGGTGGGCTGACACGCAAACTGGTAAAATTCTAGTTTACAACTAAATAGTAGCTTTCCCTGCAGGGTAGCTTACAGAGCTATAGCATAGTTATAGAAGTAACTAAGCCAACCGGCTGATTACACTGATGCAGATACTAGTTTTACTCCAAATGAGTGACATACTCACGCACACATACATACTTGCACTTCAATGCACTCAAAGAGTAAAGGCAAAATAAGTCAGTTAGCCATACTAATTTTGTACATATCTACATACATACATAAGTGCTGTACATATGTATTAACAGGTACTTGCATGAATGTAGGAGCATGTGTATTAGATGTTCACTGCATGAAGTTCTTTGCGATACACAGCTGTTGCATCGCTGCCGGCAAATGTACATACATACATACATACTAATGTATTTATATTGCGCTCTGTGACATTTTCGATTACACGATTTACAGCGGCAAGTGTGATAATGCGCAGAGTTTACCAGGCGCCCCTCACTTGTTGCTATGCATCTTCCACGAGTGTTACTTCAAATCCCACACACATACCACTCAGGGATGCCAACTCGTTTAAGGCTAATTTCCCCAAATTCATGAAAAAATTCCTCTATTCCCCTGGGAAATTCAAATTCCAACAAAATCGGGGAATTCTCCCCCGGTTGTCATCACTGATACCACTCTCTGTCGCTCTCTCGAATACACTAACACACTCCCCCTTTTGCTATGAGTTGGCCTATTTTCAAAATTGTGGTCGTTATCAATGGCTAAACGAGAGGTAGAGAGATAGGTACACATAAATACATAATATGATTAGTACTTAGTACATATTTTGGAATATCACGTAGGCCGGCCTCCTGAAAGTTTTCGCCCAGCAGGCTTCGATAGCCAAAACATTTCGATAAGTAAATAAATCAATAACTGAATGCAGAGCGAACTAGCGCATCCATACTATGTGTTAATGAAGTCGGCAACAATGTCAAGTCGTATGTTATATATTACTTGTTTGAAGAGCAATAGTGCGCAGTCTCAAGTGTCCATGGACACAGTACATACACTGAGTAGCCGGTGAGATCCATTGAACAAACTCATTCACTAAGTTCAAGAGTTATAATAGGAGCCGGGAGCGCAGTGACCACCACACGCGGCCAGTCATATGTATGTACATTAGGATGGTGCAAAAGTGCATGTGAAAAAGTAAAGTCGAAAGTTTTATGCTCTCACCCCCTAGGAATGTGCTATACCGAAAAAATTTAACACCTATTTTTTTATTTTGAAATCAAAAAATAATTAGAGGTTTTCGTAGAAATGGTATAGAATTCTTAGAAGTCAATATTTTTCGATAAAAACCTCCCGTACTTTGCAGGAGATTCTCAATAATAATACCCAACTGTTTATTTAACCATTTTTTCAACGGAACTATAATTTGCAGGTCCGCACCCACAAAAACCCCGATAAATGCAATAGAGGGACCAATAAAAAATTGTTTTTATGAAAATATTGTTAAATAAACAATTGGGTATTATTACCGAAAGTCTCCTGAAGAGAACCAGAGCTTTCCGATCGAAAAATATTGATTTTCAAGAATACCATTTCTACGAAAATTTGTTTTATTCCCATATAAAACTACATGGAAAATTTTCAGCGCTTTGAGCGACCTCTAAATATTTTTGTGATTTCAAAATAAAAAAATAGGGGTATACTTTTTTCGATATAGAACAATCCTAGGGGGTTAGAGCATTGCAATTCCGACTTTACTGTTTCTGGACCACCCTAATGTACTTATGTATGTATATACACTGCGCTATCACTCATGCTCTGAGTAATTTACTACGCCATGCTCTATGACTATGTTTAAATATATGTATTGTACATACATACATACACATGTAGGCGTGAATTGAGTAGTGTGCACCTAGTACAGGCTACTAAAAATGTGCTCAGTTTGCCACTTCAGGTTTTCTACTTTTTGTTGTTGTTTCTGCAGTTTGCTCAAAAATGATATGTATTACGTTATCATTTTGAAATGGTAGGCTAGGTTGAAGTGGCGGCCAGCTTTCATTATATGAGAAAGGCGCACTTTGGCGAAGTGGGCGTATTGTGGTACAAATTGAGAGCTCGTCCGTCCGTTTACCCAGAAGAAGAACCTGTTAGTTAGATTAATAAAGCGTGATTATTCATGAATGCCTGCTTCACTTAGGTCCGCCAGTCAGACAAAGATGCGAAGGTGAAATCAGCGTCTTCTTGCCCACGTGCCCAATCGGGACAGAGGCAAATAGTGTTCGAAACTATCATTTTCTTCTTTGTCAGCGCAGCTTCAGCAGAAATCATTCCGGTCAGCATACCTACCCATTAAGCAATGACCTATTATAATTCCTTGTTTTTTGTTCAAGCTGGGCCAGATTTGTCGATTCGTCCCAAATGTGAATTATTTGCCTTCTCGGGCAGTGTGTTTTAAGCCACACCTAGCAGAAGAACATCAGTCAACAGTTTGGCCAGTTCTCGAAACCTTTCTTAAGTCGCCGAACTTTCAGATACAGGTTTGGTTAGTTTAGCGTTACTTATCCGTAAGATTGTAGTAAATAGAACATTAGTTATTCCTTTGTGTTACCTACAAAATGGAAGCCCAGGTTTATACTTTCGTGATAACGCATTTGTTCAGCCTGTTTTAGCTCTTTCCTAGTCCTTTCCTTCAGTGGAGAGTAGAAAACAGAGCCAAGGTAGTTCAGTCGCCATCTCCTATATAGTGTGACTTTAGAATTACCATCGTCACGTGTCCGGCTTGAACGCATGAGATTGTGTGAGGCAGTATCCCGTAGTAAGTGTTTTTTTTTTTTGCTGTGTGGAAAGGGCTT